GCTATGAGGAACTGCAAGGGGCTATACATCATGCTCGCACCACATCAGAACATGACCCAAACTATGAGCAACTGAAATTTAGTAGCCGTCGCTCTAGTGATGGGGATGCAGAGCCAGGCTATGAGGTTGTCAAGAAGGTGGAGGCAGAAAGCACTTATGAAATGGTGCGTGACTATGACACCCAAGAAAGAGACCCCACCTATGAAAAGATTGACAAGCCGGATGAGCTCCCAAGCCCATCAGAAACCCCAATGTATGCCAGTGTCATAAGGAAAGGCAGCCCAGAGAAGAAGGCAGCCAAGGACAAAAGCCCAGAAGTTGAAGAAATAGGTCCATCACCTGTAGGGAAAAAGCAGCCTGCTGCAGAAGAGGCTGTAGATACAAAAGAGGAAGAAAGCATTCCCCCACCACTTGCCATGAAGCAACCATCACCCCCTCTACAGAAGAGCCCCTCTCCCCCTCTAAGGAAAAGCCCATCTCCTGTCTTGAGAAAGAGTCCTTCACCTCCCATGAAACAGAGTCCTGAGGAAAGGTCTCCGTTGAAACAGAGTCCTGATGAAATGTCACCAAAGAAAAGTCCTGATAAAGCTTCTGTGTTAGCCAAGAGTCCTGATAAAGTATCTCCAGTTTTAGCTAGAAGTCCAGAGAGGGATTCTCCACCTCTGATGAAGAGTCCTGTAAAGGAAGTTTTATCTTCAACAGAGATTTCTGAAAAGGAAATGGGATATTCAGCTATAGCCAAGAGTCCTGAGAAGGGATCACCAACATTAATGAAGAGTCCAGAAAAGGAACAAGGGTCTCCTTTGCCCATTGCTAAAAGTCCTGAAAAAGAATCCCCGCCAGTAGCCATGAGTTTAGAGAAGGAGTCTTCATCTCAAGTAAGAAATCTTGAAGAGGGATCTCCTGACTTAACAAAAACTCCTCTTAAAGAATCTCCAGTGACAAGGGAGAGTCCTGAGAAAGAATTTGCTCCTCCTATGCCACCCACAGCACCTATGCCAAGCACTGATCTACAGGAAGGGATTCCTGAAAGACAATCGTCTGTTGAGAAAAGTCCAGTTGTCCCAGTGTTAACCTCAGTAGCCCAGTCATTCCCTACTCCAATTAAGAGTCCAGAGGCAAGCCTGTCCGATGATGATGTAGTATTAGGAATGACACCAGACAAGAAATCTGTTGCTTTTGATGACAGTCCTGATAAGACTTTTTCTCCATCATCTGACAGCTCAGATGAGGAAAGTTTATCAGAAAAGTTCCCCCAGCAAAAGTCTCCACCCAAGTTAGAAAGTCCAGTTAGAGAGCAGTCCAGCCTAGAAAAAGAAGGTCCAGTTCAGCATCCCTCCTCACAGAGTCCAACCAAAGTAACAGATCCGTCAGCACAAGAAAGCCATGTAGAAGCAGAGTCCTTGGTAAGTGATGTTAATGAAAATGCATCAATAACAAGTGGTGATTCAGAGAAATTCCCTGCACCACCTCAAGTATCTAGTCCTGACAGAACATCAACAGCTGCTTTTGATAGTTTAGGGACCCAGGATGGTATCCCTGTACCAGAAACACAGAGTCAGCCCCAGGAGACCATTAATCCCCTCTATATGGTTGGTGAGAACAGCAACCAGCAGCAGAGTATGATGCAGGAGACCAGTACAACGAGTCAGGTGGTTTCTGTAGGATTATGTGGTGATCTTCCACCACCGCCTCCAGTAGAGGAAGATGAGGCAGCCTTTCCGAATGACCTGCCACCACCCTTACCGGAAGTGACATCGTTCATGCCTTCTAATGATACTTTGGCTGAAGAAGCGCCACCTCCACCTCTTGTATCCCCTTCAGATGTAGAAGGACTGGAGGATATGCTTCCTTTAGCACACATGGGATCCTCCTCCTCAGGTAGCACTGCAGGACAACCAGGCAGCATTCATGGCAGCTCAGAGAAGGACTCTGATTCCCCTCAGGAATCTGAAGATACTCAGATGGAAGGCACCATAGTAGCAGATGACCTTCCTCCACCCCCAATGGCAACTACAACAGGGAGTGAACAGGATTCTGATGAAGAGCTTGACAATTCGGTATCCTCGGGTTATGAACATGGCTTTACTGCCGGGGGAATAACTGTCACAGTGAATCCTATGGCAGACATGGAGGAGACGCAAGAAGCCACTGACAGTTTGCCTCCACCCCCTCCCAGTGAACCCTCTCCTGTTGCCCCACCATCACCTATTGCTGTCTCAGCTGTAGTGACCAGTAGTGCAGGCAGTCAGAGTAGCAGTAATGGATCAGGGAGCCAAGACACAGGTAGTGGCAGCGTAGAGAGTGTAGTTACGGTAGAGTGTGCTGTGGCTGGAGACCCCAGGGTTCAAGACAGGCAACGATCCACTGACTCTTCCTCGAGTCCTGAGAGTCGTCATGTAGATCCCAATGAGCAGATAACAGAAGTATGAGGCAGCACTGATGTGCACACAGCAACAGATGTGGCATAGCTTTAGGAGTGTAGTTCCCTGTTGCTCAGGTTATCTTTAAGATATACCACATTGCCTACTAGATTTGGCAGCAGCTCATAATTTTTGCACCAAACTGTAACTGGTATCTAATTCAACCTAAGTTGCAGCTAAGCAATTGTTAGTCATTTTTTCACAGAGTTATGTGGACCATCTTGATTACACAACGCTACTATGATAAGTAACTTTATTGGTAGCTGTTGGCTGTGAAATATAAATATCATATTTCCAATATAGCTAGGAACAATTTCCCTTGGTAGCTTAAATGAATTACTGATGTCGGTTTCATGCAAGTGTTATAACAAAGGACTGGCTTCACAGAGCCTTGTGAATATTTCCAGACATAAAATAACAATTTTAATCTACTTACTAAGAGATAGGTAAAAATATTTCAATTACTGCCATTTTTACACCTTGTTATGTGATTCTTTTTCCCAACGAGGCAAGTATATGTTTAAGTGAATGAAGGCATGGATTTGGTATTTCAATTTTTACCCGGTTGTATATGGGTGTGTTTGTAAACTAGATAAACTGAAGTGCTACAGGAGTAATTTTTGTAGGTGTGGCTCATGGTAGTTAGTATGGATTTATGTGGTGTGTTCATGTTAGCCAACAAGGGGCTGCGGCATCATGTGCGGTAATAAAACTTTTGATATTAATCATGTCGCTCGTGGACAAAAGAATTGCCATGATAAATTCTGTATGCAGTTTGTTGCCAAAGTTCCTGTTTTTGTGACAACAGGCAGGTTGAAGCTTTATAAACTTAACAGTGTTCAGTATATGTAATGGTAAGTTCTATTTATGGTACTGTAGGGTTGTAGTCAGCAAACATGTTTTAATGCATATTTGGACATCATTCAACACAGCATTTTCTCATCCAGTATTGATACTCAGCAGATATTAATCTTTCCAGTGGTTTAAATGTCATGTATAATTCTTTCATTTTTTGTATGCTGTTGAACTTCATAGTAATTGCTTTCTTGGAAAATTTCCATTGAACAAAAATTACTGTATTATTCACAGGTTACAAAGCCACTACACATACAGCAAGTTACTATCTCGTGATAATATCAAACGTTTTTTCAATGTTTTCTCCTTTGAATATGTATTGCTCTACTCTTTGAATCTGTTATAAAAATAGCTAAGAAGATGTTAGTCAGTTGTGATTTCAGTAGACTTCGAGCTATGCTTCAAGATTCACAATCTCAATCTACAGAACTCTTGTTAACAGTTTGTCACCAGTGCTATGATTTAGCAAGTCTTGTCTTATTCTCTTCTGTTTTTTAGGCAGCCTTTGTATTGTTGGCTTGAATGTTAACAGCATAGCCAGGTTAGGGAAGCTAAACATGTCTCGTCTGTTGATGGTTATTCATCCAAACAGATGACAAAGATACAGCTCTGAATTGTATTTATAATACCTCCATGTAAGGGAATTTTAGTTGTTAACTACCTAACCTTGCTATGATTCTGAGTGTTTATGATAAAGGCGAGTGTGTATATGGTGTTCAGAAATTTGAGTGTCAACTTTTATCGACCAGTGAAACCCAGTTGAAGAGTTTGTTGTTTGTTTTATTGGTTGTTAAGGTATTTTCAGATCATAGAATATGTGATTTAGAGGGTTTATCAGGTGTATTTTTATTCATTTATTTTTTACCTACCTTGAATTATGGTGTTTAGTCTTTCGTGTATGATTTATATGAATGCGTTTGACTTGTTTGTTTATTGCAAAAGTCTATTTTGTTACTCGTTACTCAAATTACTATGTGGTGGTTTGAAATTAGATGATTTTATTTATTATGCAACAAATGCAAGGCAGAAAGACCCACAAAGCATTGTTGTTGCATAACTGAGGTTTCACTGATAGAATGTAGTATGTGTGCCAAAAAATCTAAATGTTGTCAAATGTTTCAAGAACATTACTCTTAAAGGCAGCTCCTTGAGGGTATTGCTCTTCATACTTTAACTGAAACGAATTGAATGTTCCTGGGTGTATATAGATAACAGTGGCCAAAATTGCAAAGTTCAGAAATCAGCCGTGAATGAGGTGATTGAGAGAATGTTTGCAGTACCCAGCAGTTGTTAATAATGAGCATTTTAAATTAATTGTCCCTTCTCTCCCTCTTCCTCCCTTCCCCTTAGTTTTTTTCTTCCATATTTCGTGTTTTCTGTAGTGTGTATAACATACACATACTTATTAATAGTACCTGAATGTATGATTTTCTGACCCCATGGAGAACTGGCACATGAAATGAGTTTGAAGATTTTTTTTCTACTTTTAGAAAATCTTCCTTGTGGTCAGTGGTTCTATTGATGGTGGTTTTCTCTGTGTCTCTGATGTCAGCTTTATATATGCTACTTTGAGCAAGCTTGAATAGTAAACAAGGTGAAGCTGATTTTTATATATATTTTAGTGTCACTCAATTCTGTTGTTGCCTTTTTGTGAATGAACCAAAGCTTCACATTAATAGGTTTGTGATAGTTTGTTGTACTTACTGTTATTTATTTAGCAAATCTTCATTCTCCAATAGTTTAATTGCTGGTGCTAAACACTGATTCTAGTGCATGTAAATAGCTCAACATCTGTAAAAAAAATGATTTTTCTGTTTTTCATGTCCTGTGCGTTGGAGATATTTTATATCACTGTTCCTTGATTTTTTCACTATTATTTATGCTATAGAGATTACATTACCTGTGTTATTCGTGAGTACCCATACATACCCCTCCTTCTCTTTGCATGAATGTCTTGTGTAACTTTTTTCTGATTTTTATGCTTTATCTCCCTTCGTTAAAAAAAACTGTCATTCTTACTTTTTACGTACTGCTTGTATTATTATTTTAGTGTGAGAGTTTTGTAGTCATTACTGCGTTTCCAACTTGCCTCTGTATCCAATGAAGAGAAGTGCAATTGGAGTCATTGAATTGGTGTTGCCCAATTAGCTAGCTTGGAACCAAAGAGTAACTTTCCATAGAATATTCTGCATCATTATTGCAATAGAGAGAGAGAAAGAGAGAGAGAGAGAGAAGAAAAAGTGACTAGTTATCTGAGGAATGTAATGCAGCATATAGCAGTGGTGACTTTAATACAATGATTTGCATACTTTTATATTTTCTCTTTTGATATATTGATTTATATACTTGTATTCTCCTTTCATTTTTACGTTTTTCTTCTTGTAAACATCAGTGACTTATATATTCTTTTAAAGTAAAAATTTAGTGACCTGTATTCTTTTTTCATTTATTTTTCAACTTATTTTGTTTTCTTTTACATCGTCAGTGCAATATATACGGTATATATATACATATACATATATATTTCATATGTTCAGTCTCTGCAGCTGATACCTAATTCAAAATTGCAGTCTTCTGAAGTTCAAATTCACTAGCGTGGATGTGGTTACCTTGTGAACGTATTCTGAAAGGTAGTGGATGAGTGGATAGAGTGCTGTGGATGCTCGGTAAATATTGTTAGATTTTTTGAGGCAGGTATTCCTAAGCTTGATCAATATTTAGCACCTTTATTCCTCTTTAGTTGAAGTTGTTTTGTTTGTTTGTTCCTTTTTCTTTTCTTTATTTTTTGGTTTTATAGGCAAGAATGGCAGTGTTTTTCTATCTTTGAACTTGGTTTTTCAACCTGCAGTTTTAAGTATCTTGAGCACTTTGCATATTAACTAGAAAGAAGTTAATAGCATTGTATTTTAGAAATATTGAAGAAAGTTGGGAAGCAGCCACTTTTTAAGACTTTAAATTTTATTTATTGATTTCTTTTTAGAAAAAAAGCTAATTGCTCTTAAAGTATGTATATTGCTGAACAATCCATGTGTAAGGAAATAAATACCTTACACTTTTTTTCTTTTATTTTTGACTTGCAGATAGCTTCCTGCTTTCGACTCATAGAATTGAAATTAAGTGGCTAGCTTGCCTTTCTTTAGTCATACTGAAACGTAACTTGCAATAGTTAATGACTAGGCAATAGGTATTAGAATATCGTTCAAATCAACTTGTCTGAAAGATAATTTGTTGTGTGTTTTGTGAAAAAAGTAAAAGTTTTTGGTGCATTTAGGTAAAGAATACTCTTAATATTGAATCAAGAATCTCTGGTAAATGTTAACTGTAGTGATGAAAGCAAAAACCAAAAGAAAAAAAGAAAAAAAAAAAAATTTAAGGAACAAGTTCTTATTGCATTTACTTATGGTAAGCATCCTTTATTACCAGTATCTCCAAAAAGCAAGGTCACATTTCAGCCTTTTTAAAGATAACACAAGTTCCATAACCCAGTGTTCAAGCGTGGTAGGAAGTGAGAGGTCTTAGGGTGAACGCTCCTAAGGTAGGAAAAGATCAGGGATATCTTACATGTTGTTTTGTGGTGCGTGTGTGTGTGTGTTTCTTTTGATAGCTGCTGAGTCGGCATTTTTCTTTTTTTTGTTAAATTTTGAATATTTTTTTATATTTGATATGGTAAAGTTTCCTAGTGACAGTACTTACTGTTTTCCTTTCTTTGTTTTTTTTATTATTGATAATTTTATTGTATTTTTTTTTTTATCAGATTTCCATTAATTAGTGTAAATAAGTGATTCATTGCATTTATGCATTTGACTTTAGAGAAGCTTACAGAGTGTTTCATTTTTTTTTTTATATGTTATGTGTGTACTTGTGAGCTGTTTTCATCTTTTAAGTACAGTGTTTGTAAACAACAAAACCAGTTATTTATTCTTGTTATGTAATAGCATACTATTTATTGGTTGATTTAATATCTCAAAGAATAATGGAATCTCCAGATGGGATATGACTATAATGGTGCAAGCAAAGTTCACAGTTGCTAGTGCTTGAAGTTCTAGAAAATAAAAGTCTCTTTCCAGGTACACATTAAACAAATGTTACTGTTTTGTCTATTCAAAGTCTTATGCTTAGCCACAAATGAATCAATAATAACTTGAGTAGAAATACAGGAATCTGTAATTTATGCTTCACCATATTTTTATTATTGTTATTGATATTATTATTAGTCTTGTTA